CCCATGTCGTGTTGCATTCCGGGTACATACGTCATGCGTGCATCATCGTTCGCGTTTTCTCCCGTTGCTTTCCGCATCGCGGCTCACTCTTCCCGACAGGCTCTGCCGGGTAGAGAAGGGCGACTCCTTGGCGAGATCGAGCGAGGCGGCCTTACAACATTATTAAAGCGCAAGTAAAAGCCGCCGATCGGTCGTGCAGAAAGGGACGGATGACCGGCCGGCCGGAAAGAGAGAGAGACTTTTTTTTACGAGGGACGGCGAATTTACTTTCTCCGATGCGTGTCCACATGGCGAGCGGCAACGGAGACGAGCGTCGTCGCTCAGAATCGTTGTTTAATTCGGCAGTGAAGCGTTAAGGAGGCGTACATCCGGCGCACGTGGGTGCCGTAAGTCTGGGTCATGAATCCGAGAGTGATCACGTGCGGCCACGAGAAACGTCTTTTTGTCTCTCTCGCGACACTCGTAATTAATATAAACATTAAAATAATCCTGTGATTAAAAAAAAATTAGATTTGCATTTTTTACAATCATTAACACAAATGTCCTTGCATTTATATTCGATAATCGTTGAAAAATTATTGAGAAAATTACAACTTTTGATTTTTTTAAATCTTATATCTTAATTATCTTGCAATTACATTTATATATACGTATTTTATAAAGTGTCGTGTCTTGACAAACTTGATTCTACGAAATTACGGCGTATCATTCGGCGAATGATCACGTTTGATCGGTGCGTTAAATATTAATAACACGTTGCGATCGACAAGTTATGTCTTTTCCATTAGCAGAGAATGACAGTTAAAGGCGGCAAAAATGATCAGATTTACCGTAACCTGATTACAGCTCGCTATTCTTTCATCGTGCCGTAACGGGAGGAAAGCTGTTTATCTACCTTGATGTGCGTATACGGCGTTTAAATTAATTGCTCCGGTGAGATATCGGGATGAAACGCTCAATTAACATAAATAAAACGCGAAAAGACTTTCGGTCGTGTGTTAGACGGCCGACGAATCAACATATAGAAAGCATCGATACCGCAGGTCCAGGTCATCATATGATCTTGTTTATCGATCGTCAATCATTCAAGGAGAAAAGGGGAAAAAAGGGCGGGAGGAAGAGAGGTAAAAGACTACTGACTGTTCTGGCGACTATAAAATAATAATGGGATAACCGCATATACATACATACGCATAGTAGGTCCCTAATAACGCGCGGGAATTCGACCTGCTTTTTTTGGGTACGCCCTCCGCTCGCATACTCGTCGTTGTCCTAGATGGGCGGCAGGGCCGAAGGGACGGGCGTGCGCGTGCGACGTATAATTAAAACCGCCTCCGAGGAATGCGCATCTGCGTATCCGCGCGACGGAGAGAAGCAGCACGAGCGAAAAATTGGCCACGGTGTCTGCCGTAATATCCATGCCGACCGAGATTATCGATAATCGAACGTCCATCACTATTCAAGGGATAGAAGAGCCGCAAAGCCGTTGCCTTTGGTTGCTTATACACGATGTTTCGCGTCTCGCGGTTTCAATTTTAGGACAGCCTTAATTTTTGTAAGTCAGTTCGCAGTTTGACTCTCGAATCTTTATTTCGCGAGATGCTGGCTATAGAGAAGAACTCGATTTTCGGATTCATTTCAAGTCTGATGAATTCAAGATCACGGATAGGATGTGCACTGTATATATTCTACATACGAGATCGCGATCGAATCGAAACGCGTAACACGCATATTTCTTCCTGAAGACCCGTTTAATTAATAATTTCACAGCCGATTAATTTACTTAATCGTTTAATCGTATTTCACGCGACTTTATAACCGGACCGCTCGTGCGCTCGCGACGTGTAACGGTGGCGTTTACGTTGAATTTTAACGCGATTTCCGATAATCGCGACTGCGCGATCGCGGTTCTATGTAATTATTTTATTAATTATTTTCCTTGCCATTCATGGCAAGAGTAAATGACGCGGCATGACGATATCCGACCGCGTATATGCATACATAATTCATGACCGCTCGAGACATAGACACACTTCCTCTATCCCCGACAGCCTCGAAAACGAATGGGTCACCCTGTACCTATCCTATCGGTCGGTCGAGCGCGTATAATGCGATGCATAAATGCATGGAGGCACGCAGTGCGTGCGCGCTTAACATAGATACGTATCTGACAATAAGAAACGCATCGACACGCCGACGCATCGCATCGTGACGCCCGGGAACGACGTGACGATGCAGCGCACGTATCGTTGCTTCTACATGCATCACACACACACACACACACACACACACACACACACACACACACACACACTTACACACGAATTCCCTTTTTCATTTCACGCCGAGTATCATCTCTTCTCGATTCGAGCCAAGTGACTTATCGATACGTAATGCGTGATACCGTCGGACGAGACAGTACGATAAAAATTTGTTGCATAGAATGTAACATTTTTTGCTACACGAAGAATCGTTTGCCGCGCGGTGTATGTTTTAATTATGTCCATTTTGAACTTTTATGTGAGACATATGCTGGGGCTATTTCAATATAATTACTATTTTATATGCAGACGAATATAAATTTTCATATTAATAACTAATGAATACAACGAAATGGCCATCAAGTAAAGCCGTTCAGATTTGAAAAAAAAACGTATAATTACGTACGTACGAACCTGTGTGTGTAACGATTATATTAATTTCACGGGATCAAAAGATTATTAATTATTGTCAACTGGGAGAGTGGTTGGATGATGTTAAAATTCTACCTCCGGACAGTCTGGTCTCCTCTGAAACGAAGATCTGAGAGATCTTCTCTTCAGAAATTGCCTCATCCACATACCTTATCGCTTGGTTTACAGCTCAACGTGTCGTCGTTCTTCTAATCTTTTAGGCTCGGATAAGAGTGGGTCGTTGACCTGTTCCAGCAACTGAGTTAAACTCGATTCTAATGTTTTCTAATCCGAGTTTCAGTTTTTTTTTGTTTTTTAAATTAATCTAATGATCCATTTATCAAGTGCGTGAAGTAATTTATTCATGTTACGCGTGTTTCATTATCTAAAGTTCACGTAATAATAAAAGTGAAATAAAAAGAAAGTAAAATAAATTTAAATTTATTATTTGAAATCCCTCCTATTATAGTATGTTATAACATTTTATGCATTAGTTAAATTTCATTATCCCGTAAAATCACAATCATATATTATTTTCTTGCCTAAAAGGCCAGCCATATATTCCAATTTAGCATTAAAATATTTCGAGCGAAAAGGCACTCTCGATCTTCCCTCGCATTTTCTCTGCCTTCATTCTTGAGTCCGTATTGTGCGAGGAGAACGTTGCAGGCCTACGTGCCTTTGAAATTTGAAGTACACTCACAAGATCGGCGTACAATTTATCGCGATAATTGTTGGCCGGCTGCTGCGCTAAAGCCAAGAGAGCTCTGCTTTCCTGTGATAGCACACGTAGAGACGTAGCAATTAAACCGGAACAAATTGGTTGTTAGGAATTGAGCTCTCTCGTACACGGCGCGCGGCAGCGCGGCGGCAGTTTTATTGTGATTACACGGTGCCTCCGATAGATACGTATTCGTAGCTCGGGGGCAAGCTGATTGACTCTCGTCGATAATTTCCATCCGCCTGCGTGGCCTGGAAGACCTTGCCATTAAAGGGCCTTGGAGGTACCCGTGCATCCCGTCCGTCACTCTTTTGCGTATCTCACATACGCAAAACCACGAGCTCATCCTTCCTCCGCGCTTGCGCGCGGCTCTTCTTGCTCCAAAACCGTGTAATACAATTTCACGAAGCGCGGCACGTTTATTACGGCGAAATTAATTACTACGTGCCAGATGTATCGCGCTATTCTTTCCGCGGACCGGTTTATTTCCATTTTATTATCGCGCCCGCGAACAGAGTCACGGCATCCGCGTATCGAGAAGCCGCGCGGAGGAGTCTCGCGTCCCTCTCTCTTTGTCTATAACTGTATCATAAGTCGATTAATATTAAAGCCCTAAGAACGACTTATGCGAATGTGGGCCGCGTGGAATTTACATTACCGGCTTTGCTAGCTACCGCGTAACGTTATCGACGACCTGCCGACCGCCTTTGTGCGTGGAAGACCTGAGGATTACCAAGCTCATTCACATATCGAATGTGCTTCTTTGGACGATGTCCTGATTGGGCATAATGCTGCGTCATAAGTCAACAGATAAATATACGCTCCTCTCGAGGACGTGGTCTGGCCTCGAACCGTTTAGGGTCTTTGACATCATCGGGCTACAAATGTTCCCGACGATCGGTCAGAATACTTGGAGAACGCGCCGTCAGCGGAATAACTATTTCCGCCCCTAACCGTCGAGAAAATTATCGGACTCAATGAAATGTAATGGATATTCAGACTAAATCATCTTTCTTGAAATGAAGTAGGGACAAATGTACTCTTTATTACTGCAATTGCAACGATAAAATCTTTTACATTTTCTGTCTCAAAGAAAGCATATCACTGAACAAATGCGTCAATTACGGCTAATACGACAAACTATAATACATTTATAATTTTCAGATCTTTTGCTCATTGTTTTGTGTATCATTAACTATAGGTTAAGCATTAGTATAATATTAGTGAAAAGCGCTGTGTATAAATCATATTTTAACTGTGATAAATTTAACAATCCCGAATAATTTTGCGAACGTATCATAGGATAACAACGGTTCAACGGTAGTTATTGAATCGCCAGCACAAGTGTGCGAAAGTATTCTTACAATAACACAAAGTATATAAGCTACGTGTGAAGGCTTTGGGGTTAAGTGACAAGTGATGGAAGCGACAGATCGAAAATAATGAATCGGGACGAAGCGTGTATCGCGCCTCGAACTCAAGTCATCTTTCTTCATACATTATACATATAGTCTCCACCGTTTGCCCCTCCGCTCCCTTCCACGTGTATATGTTGGTCATTGTATTTTAAAAGCCAATTCTACCGCGCCCTTTTTGCTTCCTTTCAGATCCGCGGGGCACTCGAGAATTGGGACGGCGGTGCCTTCAAGACGAGTGAGTATGCACACTGCACGTACGCGCGGCTTCTTAGCTATCGTTGCGCGATTATCGATTACGATGCCAAGGAACCTTAACGAGTTTATTATGCCCCGCGAGAGAGCTGCCGAGACAAGCAGTTCTCGGCTCTGCACATCTTAGGAAACTGGTAAAGTGGAACTTATCAAGGGCGACCGCGCGCGCGCCCTTCCCTTCGATAATCGCGCGCGCGGTCGGGAATCTCGTCCTTCCGGCTCTCTTTCTCTTCATCTCTTCTTTCTTTTTTCTTTTACTTTTCGCGCGTGATAGACGGCAAGAACGATCGACAGGCGCGGTTGCTCCATGCTTAAAAAGACGGCGCTAATTAAGTGGTACCCCTTCCCCTCCTCCTCCGACCGAGATTTGCCATGCTTTGTGCATTAGCCGAGTCGGATGATTCGTTCTCGACTTTGGCTTGCGCTTTGCTGCCGAGGAGCACTCTTCGTTTCGTGTATACCGCGTTGCCGCTATTACCGTGAAATGACTATCACCGGCCATTTCGAATTTACATTAATACGATCGTCGGTTCTTTATCGTGCGGGACGACGACGGCGAATCGTAAATCGGCGCCGCGGCTCGTGTGTACATATACGCGAAGGGAATTTATTCGTGCCGTTCGAGCGTTATCTCGAAACACGATACCGCATGCATTTTTTCACGCCCGCCCGGCCATGACTCACGCGTGCGCGAGCTCGCATTTTTTTTTACACATGGCGGCCGCCATCCAGGGGGTGTAATTGTCCGATGTCAATTTGTGGCGCGAACGCTATACATGTGGAGAGGCCTATCTGGACTACCGTAAATTCGCGATGCGTTGAATCTGCAGCGAATTACATGGTGCAGCCCGCATTTCACGGCGGGAAACGGAACGCGGGCAAAAATGTTAATTCCGAAGGTAAATCATTTTTCAATACAAAAAAAAAACGGAAACAGAGACGACGGAAATACCTTCGTCGACGAAAAACAGATGGAGCAACATGGAGGCATCCAGTGTTAATAATTCCGATTCGATTTTAATTTCCTTTTTAGCGCCACGGTTTATGTCGCGCTGCACGCGACATACTATTTTATTTTCTGCTTTGCGTTTACCGGCATCACGTTTATGCGCGCGTCCGGACGGTGCTGTTAATTACGGAGGAGAACGTAAAACCCTCCGCCGGGTGATATGACAAGCGCAATTATTTTACGGCCGGCGAAAGATAGTCTCGTGTAATTTAATAACGGAATTCGGTACTTTTCCCGTACGCCGCGGCACAGACAGATTTTAATTATGGCGGTATACGCTGTCAACGCAGGTGACTTATTCCCCGGCCCGTTTTGGAACTCTTACTGGGAATACTTGGAGAAGTACAGCGAGGCTAGGAGAACGCTGGACGAGCTGAGGGCAACCGAGGACCCCCTACTGCACTTTCTCAGTCTTAGACAGGCGGCCGCGAGGCACTCGCCCTTGTCCTTACTTCTCCTACCGGTGAGTTATCAACAGCGCCATAAACTTATCTGTCTTATACTTTAGTCTTGTCAACAAAAACATTTTCAGATTTTATTCATTGATGAGTTAAAACGTTAGTATATAAGATCACCATCTAGCGCGTGGAGTATCGAGTCAACTTTTAGCAATGTCGTATTTCTTTTACTAAAAAGAGAATTTTCCCGATGGGATTGTTAAAAGTTTGCATTTGTGAAATATCAAAGGAGGTCCAAGGAAAGATTAATTTTATCTGCGCTCGCGCGTCCGCAACGTTGTAAATCACGTTACTATTGCTGGCTTAATCGATACCACGTGTGTTCCACTCCGTCCTGGTAATGTACGCCTACGATTACGTTTGACTAATAAAGATTCGGCCTCGTAAATGGTAATTGCAAGCATTGCCTTCGGTTTTAGTCTCAATCTCGGATACCGCGCGACTGAAGTATTATACGGCACAAGAAAGTATGCGCCGAGGAAAAGATCGAGGAGAAGGGAGGGGGAGGGGGGAAGGGCGGCCAGTTGAGAATAGTGAAATTAATCTCACGGGAGAAAGGTGGAATTCCTCTCTCGAGAAGAGATACATCGTCTAATTAATCGTGCCGTCATTAAATCTGATTACATTAATTCGTTTCGCAAGTCTTTCAAATGCCGAATATCGCGAATCTCCCTTCTTCGTTAGGAGAATCATGAATTAAATTCCGGCTGACGTGAATCTCGACGAGACGGTTGAATTGCTCGGCTGAAGCCGGAAATCCAGCTCTCGTAAGACGACCGTAAAAGCTATCGCGAGTTTCGTATTCTCACTTCTGGACACACTTGACTCTTCAGTGAAAGTCTTATCTTGCGCCGCTGACGCAACGGTGCGCGAGAGAGCATCATCTTCGCTTTAACCTTTCGAGATTCTCATGTACGAGCACGCAACGACAGCTGTTTTCTTCCTAGATCGCTCCACAATACGCGCCCCGATCGATTCACAATATAGTTCACTTTTTTTGCGAACGAAAGCATTAGGCATGAATGTGAGAAATTTGTCAAAAAGATAACAAAACCATTAATTCGATAAAGACAAAGCATTTTTTGTGTATATATGTATAATTAGCCGAAGTAATAAGCGTTTCGTCCTTTCATCTAGATGTCTCGAACCGATTGAAAATGCAGCTTAAGTTAATTTCTACCAATAGTTGATTGTGAAAAATATAGAAAAGGGGGGAAAAAAAAGAAATTCGAGATCGGTAAGAAGAAGCGCGTGTGTGAGATGAGCTATGTGACAGCTTATAACGGGCGTAATGATCGGAGGTCCGGAACGCACCTCGATCATTGGCTCGATGGAATCGGCGGCCGCGACTTTAACACCCGTTGAAATATAGACTTGGGTCTTGTAAGTCACGCAGGTACGCAGAGGAGAACCTGCGTGCACCTACCCACCCTTTAATGCGTATATGACGTTGATAAGTGTCGGCAAATACGCTTTCGTTATTGGGCGTATTGTTATCTAAATTTGAAATCCAGTAACCTCAAGCGCCGTCTTTAGCCGCACTAGGCTAAGCCTTTTAATTGCCTCATAACGAAGTTTTGCAATTATTGATATAATGGGATATACCGGTTTGCTTATTATCTCCTTACTCTCGCTTCACGGCTTAGCAAATAGATTTTGCGGACTTGCGAAATCTTTCTGCAAACGAGTTTCGAGTAACACGTGCCTTCTGCACTTGGCGCACTTTGTACATTCGACGTATTCGCGCGACGCCGTTAAGACGCGGGGAACGTCTGGAGTGTCTAGACGCGGAACGTTCAATGGGAACGTTACGTTTATCAGATTTGCCGGGAATGTTAACTGTGAAATTTCACCTGACCATTTCTGCACCTGTAATCGCGACAGGCAAGCTACTAGTGTCAGTAGTGTCCTGCCTACGCCAAGCGTCCGACAGATTACGAGATGCCCTCTCTTACACGTGGGTGTCCGCAATGGTCCGCGGTATCCGTTTGTGGTATAGGTATGAGGTTTATGCCACGTTGATACGTTATTTACTTATATCGTCACGAAGCGGCTCGGGGAACAGCGGCAGACGTACGTAAGAAATTGCGGTACGTCGTTACGAAACGCTGATCTTGATCTCCCGAGCACCTACGCGCAAAACGATGTGCCTGTTTATTACAGCTATCCGCTATGTAATACATAAATCACGAACGCCTGAGTGTTTGGAATACTTTCCGGAAAAGTATTTTTCTTTTTCGCGACCCACTAACGCCTACGATCATCTTGCGCGATAATTTCTCGTTGGCAGGTGGTTAAGCAAATATGCTAGTAATATACATTTGCTCAAGATATCATTATATCTTATTAGAAATTTTCAAAAATTGGAAAGTTGAATTAAATTAATACAGTACGTTAATTAAATGAGAGAAGAGAAGCGTGTCATTTCTTGCAAATAATATATCTTTATTTATTTTAAAGATACCACAAGCACACAGTGATTTCTATATAAACTGTGTATTTAATACTTTCTATTTTTCTAAACGCTATTTCTCTGTACATGAGAGATAATATCTTCCTAGAGGCATAGATAAATTTGAATTTCGGTCTTACAAATGTAGCACAAATACGTCGTTATTCGGAGGCACAGCTATATGCAGCATTCGATACGCACTTATACATGTATATGACTCTTGCAGAACCAGTCATTGTTTCTCTTTTGTACATTGCAGAACGACGAGTGATTTACGAGGTGCACTCGTCCTACTGCGGTAATATATGCCTCGCCGAGGGGAAGTAAAGGAGAGATAATTTTGCAAGAGAAGTAGCCTTAAGAACACGCTCCGAGTACTTTAAAGTCTAAATTGATTTTCCAATTTTCTCCCATCCTGTTGCTCCGGATTTCGACGATTGATTGTAGATCCTTTTACGAGATAAATCGAAGGATGACAGTCATTAAGGGAGTTAATAATATTAAGAAATTTTTATAAATATAGTTTTTGATATTTAAAAACTTTTTTAATTATCTTAATTTATCTCACGCTATTGCTCTTATCAATTACATGCATATTTACAAATTTAAGCATATACTATATTTACGTAATATTTTGTCTGGAAAAGAGATACATGTTCTCCCAATTTTTATTTTTTAATTATTATATTAATTACGCCATATATTTTGTCATTAATTAAAATATTAGTACATTTTGTTGAAAACAAATGGATTTCTATAACAAATTGATTAAAATTCTTTTTACGTTTACATTTATTTGCAAACAGTAAATCTTTTCACATAATAATGTATCTATATTTATTCGTTACGATTAATTACATCCTTAATGAAGAATCCGAGCAGAGAGTCGAGAGATTATTTACCGTTCTCCATAAATTGGCGCGTAGCTACAACAATCAGATTTTATCTTTTTTACGTTCTTTTGTGCTTCTCAATTTTATTGCCAGGCTGATCTAATTTATTTTTCTCTTTGAAAGTAACATTCTCGTTGCCGTTGATCGATGTCGTGATTATAGTACCCGCTGTTTGACCAAGCCGAAATTTTATACCAGCAAAGGTAAGAGCGGGGAGGGATGATTTAAATGAATCTTCATTTCGTCGCGTGGGATGCAGAGTCGTGCGTGAACTTCAGTTAACCGTAAACTATGTGTGTACTGAGAGAGAGGTTCGCGACGTAAGTCTGAGAAGGTTGAATGTGCCAAGCGTTGCTAACGGTTTCCTCGGTTCGCGCTATATATATATGCGCCTGTACGCGCAACAGGCCGTGATTCTGTACGTCGTGTCACGGGGATGATGAATGACCTCGCGTCGTCATCGATGATCATCGCGCCGCGGCAATCTCATGTAAGTCGACAGGTCGAACTTTGGCCTTTCCTTGCGGTCAAATCCTGGCTCGTGCGCAACAACATATGTTAAGATGTGCGTGCGTATGTTAAGCACGGTAGAAAAGCTGCGAATTAAAAAAATTCTGTCTACTTGCGAGTCTTTGGAATTAATGAAAGAATTTTTCTCCAGGGTTTGTCGAGATGAAGTATCATTCTCTGAAATGCTAAAACGAAGTCTCGATACAAGCTATTCTATCGTATCTCAACGTTCCTTAATTAATTAATTAGGAATGATATTTTGAGATTCAAGTTTCACGGAATAACCATATCACCGTAAATATTGTAATTGCACGTACTATACATATAAAACATGTAAAACGAATATGTAAAATCGGGCTCAATTTAAGGAAACTTCTTGCGCTGACCGATTATCGTTGACATCAATTTTTCGCTGTGCCACGCCAAGCGAAGTTGAAAATAATTAAGTAAGAAAATAAGGGCGCGGTATCTATTCCGTCGACGATAAGACGGCGATATGATCGCCCTATCAATTAATTCCACGGGGATAATTGGCGGATACACGAGGAACGTGCACACAAAGTCATTTATTTGACGGCAGCGCGGGCAACATTCTCTCTCTTATACCGAGAGTCGGATGCGACTCGCTCAGGCATCGATAAGACGATTTGATGTGCGATAAGGTCCCGGCGGTATAATAGACGTATAGCGTACCTACCTATGTACGCTTCCCTCGTCTCGAAAGAGAGACGCGCGTGGCGTGTGATAGTGTCAACAGTGAAAACCGGCCGCCACGATCTGCAAGTTAACCATAAAGAATCTGGTTTGTCGCAGCAAACCGCAGCAGCCGCCGCGATTACGCAGCCGACGAATACGCGACGCGAATAAACGCGCGCGATAATTCACGTTTACAACTAATTAAAATACCAGATCCGGAGCTGCTCGCTCGGTAAATCGCAAACAGTAATTTTTAATGTTTTGCAAGAAAATCGTTATTCAATTGTAACAAGTAATTTCATGTAAAGCAGATATATTGCAAATTATCGTTTCGCATAATTACAAGACTTTTCTGACAAAATAGCTATTTGTTAATCCTGTCTCTGTTTTTTTATATGTAATAAGTACGCGTCAATATATATCTTCGTTTAATTAAATCGAAATTTTTTTAGCT